ATGATAGCCAGAGTTGATGCCCTCAGCCACGTTCAAAAAGGCTCCCACCGATTGTTTTGCTTGGATGTGTCCACGTGTTGAATGCAATCGACTCCAACAGCTAATCATTTGTTTAGCACTCAGCCATGACACTCTCCGCTCTGATCTGAGGCGAGACCGCGATGGCTTCGAAGGTGAACCGCGCTTTGGACCCGGTCTCCATGTCGGAGAGCTGCTTGCTGTTGATCGGCAAAGAGAACGCCACGCCTGCCACGCTGAGGACCATCATCTCGACGTTCAATGCAAAGATTTTTGCCCAGAAGGACAGACAGGGACAGAGTCAGTATTTGAAAAGACTTGTTTCAACGCCAGTCAGTTTTTTTTTGCACGGGCCAGGCTTGCCAGGTCACTGATGAGTGTTGAGCTTGAGCCCTGGAAGGAGCTTCAGATCCACGGCAAGGCAGAGCTGCGCCTGCAGAGCATAGCGGAGATGCGGGTGGCAACTCGCCAGCGGATTCTGCAGCACATCGGGATGCATGGCTGGAACCGGCCGGGCTGCGGGTGGAGCAACCAGATTTTTGACTTGCAGGCCTGGCCTGTTTGAGTTCGCAGGTTTCGATTGCTGTTGCGAAGAAAGTGTGTTGATGTTCTTGTGTGAACCTTGACTGCTACGATCCGATGCGACATAGGTGTTGGGACCGGGATAGCTTGATAATGTTCGGGTTGAAATTGAGTATGAGCAAGGCAATTAGCAGTTGGAATGCGACTGCCACATAACTGATTGGGACCGTGAAAGAATTGACAGATAGGTTTGGTTGTTCTTGCCAATTGGATTGATCTTTTTGCCCACCTCCCGGTCCCGACTAGGGGCTCTACTGCGGCCGCTACTGCTTGAAGACTTCGCACCCAGAGCTCAAGAAGGTGTTGGTCACCACAGATGAATGCCAGGACAAGTTCGTGGAGTGGCTCCACGCGCAGGCGCAACATGGGCAAGAGGCCGTCCGGCCAGATGTTTGCGAGAAGACCTTGACCAAGATCTGCCTTGCGACGCACATTGCGAATAAGGTGCTGGTGCCGGCCAAGGTAGCGCCGGAGAAGGTGCAGGAGTGGCTGCGGGTGGCGGTCTTTGAGAACAAGTTCGATTTTTTTTTCGACGCGGCGCTGGCCGAATTTTCATCAGAGGCAAGCGAGGGCTTTCAGATGAGCCAGTTTGCAGGGTGGGCAGCAGACAAGTTCCCCAGCATCAAGCAGGTGCTTGCTCAAGCCGCGGCTGGCGATTCCACCTCTGATGTTTGCATGGTCGGGTCGGCCAAGGACAGCTTCCATTGCTCAAGAATATATTTCTTAGTTTCCCTTGTCCCTTGTCCCCCCCGCTCGCTCTGGTTATGTTTTTTTTGTGAGGGGAATCTATGAGTGCACATGTTGTGTCAGTGGAAAGTCAGCGGAAGGACAGGGTGCAATCGGTGGCCCAAGACGTCCTTGCTCAGTCTGATGCTTTCTTCCGGGAGCGGGCTGGGCAAGAAGGCGAAAGCGCCTCGGCCGTGGCCAAGCTCTTTGTCTTGGACCTCCGCTCGCTGGGGGCAGCGAAGAAGTCTTCGCTGGATGTTGGCATTGAGACTTCATTGGTCTTCCCAGACGCTTGGCTTCGGGCTTTACAGGGGCACTCAGTTTTTTTTGATGTTGCTGTTGATGCTCAACAAAGGCAACGAGGCAACGACGAGTGTTGCATGGCTTGAGGCTTGAGCTTTGGTTCTAGTCGGCGTTGGAGGGTCTGAGATTATTGGTGTGTTTCAACAACGATTGACATCAGGACTCGGTGAAGCTGGTCACGATGCCGGTTTTGTGCGCAAGGAGGCACCACCGGGCAAAGCGGGGCGCGTCAGGGGAGGCCAAGCCTTTGACGGAGGATGATGATGAGGAGGAAGATGAAGAGGAGGAAGAGGAGGGCGGCCTGCCCATGGTGGGGACGGCTGCTGAGGTCTGCTTGACCGCGATGGAGAAGAGGCAAATGCTGTGTGGGAATGAGCGGGAGGTCAGGCGACTTCTGGAAGACTCGCTCATGGTGCCGAAGAAGCACTGCATGATGGGGTTTGTTTGCCAGTGCGACAACCTGCTGCATGGTCGCACGACGCGCGAGCTGCAGGTGGCGATCCCGGTGATGGAAGATAAGCACAACTACTGGGAGAAGAGCGTCCTTTTGAAGGGTGGGCTGCAGGATGTGCCGGCAACTCCGTACTGCATACGTGTGTCGCCAGCCGCAGCGGCGACTGCAAGAGCGAACCAGGTGTGCGAGCGCGTCCCGCAGCAAAAAGCGAATGAGACACAACGGGTGCAGCTTGGCGAGAGGGCTGTGGAGGCATTGTTCGCCAGCATCCTGCCCCCGGAGATCAGATGGGTGCGGATTTGCGTGCTTTTTGTCAGCCCAGACTGGGCCTCGGGTGCCATGAAGGCTGTCATCAGCCGACATCGACGTGGGCTGCACCTTCCACGTGTCACCTTCTTCATGGCGGACACGCGGGAGCACGCGATTGCGGTGAGCCGCATCTATGCCATTCAGACGGTGGCGAACGCGCTTCGCGAAGGCAGCTTGCAGATCAGTGGTTTGAACAGACTGCCGGAGTCTTGATTGCTATCGGATTTGATATTTTGACTTGGACTTTTTGACTCGGATTGTTTTTTTCCAGTGAACCTCAACAAGCTGAACTTTTTGCAGGTCAACATCAACGCCAACCAAGGAGTCCCCTCCGGAGTGGCAGGGAAAAGAGCCATCCAATGAACAGGCCCAGGTCCTGCTTGAGGAGACCAGGTTGCAGCTGAAGCGGTGCACCCTTTCGGAGTGTGGCAAGCTGATCCTGAAGCAGATCCCGGATGTGCTTGAGGAGGCTTGGGGCCGGGCATCAAAACTGGAACCCGCGTTGTTAACATATGGTGGCCTTTGATGCAAGTAAATAGATACTGGCACGTATTTTTTCCATTGAATTCCATGGTTCCTGAAGCCTGAAACCCGGCATCATTGGGTCCCCCCCATCTTGAGTCTTGAGTTTGGGAGTCATTTGGAGCGGCCCCCCTTGATTGCCAGGCAGTTGGAATCCTTCGCCTCGACCGCTTTTGCCCCTGCAGGTGGAGAAAGTCAAGGAGGAGAAGCAGAAGGCCGAGAAGTTTGCTGAGAGTTGGGGAGCGATGATTGCAAGCTCGGAGGAGCAGCCGCCCAGTGCCCCTGACAATGAGTTGACTGCTGAAGCTTTTGGCCAGAAGTTTGTGACGCAAGAGCGGTGCCAGCAACCGCGTGGACATGCCCTTGTGTGGGCCAAGGACCGCAGTGTGGAGGGCGCCCAGCCCCAGCTTTGGTTGGAGAACCCGACTGACAAGGTGATCAAGATCGAGGCGGGTGCTGAGCTCTTTGGGTTCGGCTGCATGAAGCTCGAGGGAGGCTCGCCAAGCGTGGAAGGCCATCGCGCCCTGAAGCTCGCTTGCACGAAGTCAACCTTTAACCTTTTGTTGTCCCTTTGGTCTCCAATCACATCACTGTCGCATGGCCCCAAAAAGGTTACCCAATCATGGCTCCTTTTGGGCTTTGGGCAACTGAGGAAGTGGGAGGTCACCGCTGCAGCGGCTTCAACCTGCAAGGTGGCGTTTGAGAAGCCCGGCACATCAGGCTTCCGCTGCAAGACGTTGATGCAGATCTTCAAAGACCTTGGCATCAACGTGAGCGCCACCCTGCGGCCAGACTTTCTGCTGTGGAATCATCGCACGGTGGTGGCAGCCGCCAGGAGTGCCAGCTTCAGCACTCTCGCCCCCATGTGCAGCATGGCCACTGCGCCGGAGATGCCGCTCACGAAGGACTCAGCGCCTTGACCTTTATATAGTATATAACATGTTGATGTGGCTTTGGCGTTGAGATGCGTTGAGCTTTTTGGAGGAGACTGGTTTGGCAACTTTTTGAGCCCTCAAGTAATAGTAAGCAATGCAACTTTTTGCCAGGCCGGCATGGTGCTCCTGCCGAAGCTGGCGGCTGAGAGCGTCCCGACTCCGGTCTCGTCGTTGGCTGTGGCGGGATTTGTGGAGGTGGTGCAGGTTCTGCACGCAGATGCTGCCGGCGTGACGGCGGCGATGGCAACCGAGGCACAGGAGGCAGCGGCTGGGGGAGATCACTTTGCCCTTCGGCCCAGCAACAATGCTGTTTTGTGGCTGGCGTTCACCAAGTGTGTGAAAGAGCTGCCAGCAAAGAGTTTTCTCAAAGTTGGCTGAGGCACGTTTGCTTGCTGTGCCTGCCACGAGGGGCCACATTGAAAGCAATGTGAAAGGTGAAAGGGTTGCCGAAAGAACGCACCGGGCAAAAACTTGAGACATGACCTTGAGACACACACACACACACATTTCACATCACGACGTAGCAAAAACATCTCGGATCGTTCCATTTCGGAAACCTCAGATACGTGGCTGGCATGGCAGTGCAGCTAGTGCTCATTGCCCGATTGGAGTTGGTGGTGGTTGAAAAAATGGAGCGGATGACTTGGCTTGGCATTTGGAGTTTTCCTCATTGCTGCACTTCGGAATGCGAGTTTGGTCAGACTTCATGCGCCCCGTGCCAGGTGACGATTTCTGAGCAGATGGCTGTCTCACTGGATGCGGGTCAGAGTTGAGGTCACGTTGTCAGTTTCTACATGAGCTCACATGTCACATGTCAAAGCTTTTCTCCGGCCCGGCTTTGCAGAAACAAGGTTTCCATTATCAGGCGAAGGCTGTGAAGAAAATGGCTGTCATTGTCGGCTGCTGTCACTGTTCAAAGGCAACAGGCAACAGGCTGCCAAGTGTCCTTTGATTTTTTTCACATTTTTTGGGCCTTCATAAAAGGACCAAGCCGCCAAAGGGGGGGACCTTTTCTGCCAAGTGTCACTTGTAGGATACCAAAGCTGCGTTTTGGGGGTGAAGCGATTTTTTGGGTAAGGCACATGTATCAAAATGTTTGGATCAAAGAAAAAGCTGAACTTGCCGGACCTCCGCGATTGGCTGCTCGGCAGGCGAGCAAGATGCTGCTTTTCGCCAAGTGGCTGCGAAGTATTCGCATCGAGGGGATGACCGGTCTTCTTTGCGAGCACACGGTCTCCTTCCAGGAAGGCCAAGCGGGGTCGCATCAATGGTCGCAAGTAAACCAGACACAGACAAAATGAAACCGCTGGCAACCTTCTGGATTGTAGGTGTTCGCCTGCATTCATTTCTGGGCTCAGAGATTGTACTTGCCTGGACAGCCTGTGATGAGGAAGCTGACAGACACGTAGGATCTCACGTTTACCGTTTACTTGTTTCTTTCATGGACAATCATTTTACCCTGCCGCTACCAAAGATGGAGCCCCTCAGAGGGTCTCTTAAAATCGAACTGGTCTTCCAGCAACCTCCAGTCGAGTTCCGTGTTTGTTCATGTGAGAGTAGATTTGGGGAAAAACCAGTTGGCTTTTCGGCCGGCTTGACTCGTAAGGCACGATGATTTCTTCGCCTCTCTGCCGTCGACAGTTGAAGAGGTGACATGCCAGCAAAATGACATCAGCCTATCCGCTTCTCGGTTGAAACCGCGAGTTCTCTCTTGCCAATTTTTGGTTGGGATGTGGGTGTGGCTCAAAAATTACCAGGAGTGGTTACGCAGGTTTTGGTCCATGTTTCCACTTACCAGGGCAACCCATTTTGGTACCGGTTTTTTGAGACACAGCCATGTCGAAAGGTCACCAACTGCTGCTCGTGCCATTTCGCCACTAAGGTTTCAAAGCAAATTGCCAGCCAAGTGTGTGGTGAGAGCAGTGTGCGCTCTTGGATGGTCGTCTACACGTTGGCTTTGGCATCCGAGCCCCTTCGGCAGCTGTGTTGCTCGACTGAGTGATGGTATGCTTTGCATTTTTGCAGCAGTGTAGGGCCAGCCGGTTGATATCAAGCTTTTTACAGATGCTTATTTAGGGCAAGCATGGCTTTGCCCAATTTCTCCAGTCTTGCTTTACGCTGGTTTGGAGCGTTTGGGGATTTCCTATGCCACTTCCTGGTGAGGACCAAGCGTGTGTTTCTTAGCTCCGCGGAGCTGCGAAGCCAAGCCAACTCAGCACTTGATGTGTTTACATAGGGATGCCTTTCTAGAAATGGAAGTGGCACGTTATGCGTCCCCCAAAGGGGGTATTGAATAAGAGAAGATTATTTAAGGGCATCTTTGTGCTGCTTGTTTTTGAGGGTATGGGGCCTGGCTTCCCATTCTCACACACGCGATCGCTCGTTTAATCTGCTTTCATTTGAACTCGTGACAGTGGGACCAGGCCAAGGTCAAACACCGAAAAGAGTTGGGGTAGGCAGTGATTGGCAAAATGATGGTCCCAGTCCTTTTTGCTTCGTGGAACCGACTAATTATGGGCAAGGGGATAAGGTATAAAGTACGTTATGCCTTTTGAAGGGCATCTACGAGGGCGCAAGCCTGGCAATCAAGGAGCTGTCATCATGGCGCAATGGAACTTGCAGATCTTGGGAATGGAGTTGCTAATTAGCCTTCCACTGGCAAACGTCGAAATGGCCCTAGTCAACAAATCCTGGAAATATTGGAACAAGAACATACCCCTATTGGCATGCTTATACGGCAGCTGAGGGGGGTCATTCCAGGGCATCATGTAACCTTCTGAAGCGCAGAAGCTAAATCCAGGCTTGCGGCTTGCTAGGTTTCTTCCTCAGATCAGTGCTTCGACTGTTGAATTTGCTGCAGTTCTATGCTGGTTTTTGTTTGGACTTTTTGCCTTTTACTCGAGGACAATTGAATAACGCACCACTACTGTAGGCAACTGGGTAAACTTGTTGCAAAGGTCGCCCCACGCATTGGTCGACTAGCGCCAAACCTACCGCCAGCTCTAGTTGAGTACACACAAAATTCACATAGGCGCGCCAGTCTTGCTACTCACCAAGGTTCAATGTAGTAGCTATGTGAACCTTTGGCATAAAGCGACGGCCTGTGTTATAATTGACAATTGGGTGACTGGGCGTCTCTGACCCAACCGACGCGGCAGAGGTGGGGTGCTTTTTCACAAAGCGCTGGGCGGGGCGTTGCTTCCGCTGGCTGCAGCTGCAGTGCCGGAGGATCTGGGGACGAACTTGGATGGCGGGGTGTGCTGCGGCCTTCCCACGCCCTTGACGACTGGAGCCTCTTCGTGGATCAGCGGAACCTTCATTTTGTCCTCCTCCAGATGCTGGGCTGCTCTTCAGACTTTCGAACAAGTCCCGCAAAAAGGGCGTCCGCGCCATTGCTTCTTGCTTTGCTTCAAGAATCGATGGGCAACTCGCTGTGGGCTCCCTTCATAGCAGTTGCTGAGGGGCAGTGGGTCGCTTAGGCGTCGCGCGAATGGTTCGCTTAGGGATCGCGCAAATGGATCGCTCCGGGATCGCTTTTTGCAGAAGGCTTGTCGCGCATGCATGCGTGTTGATATGTTTGCCTCGCGATGTATGTTTATATACGCGCATGCGCGAGCAGGAACGCGCTTGTTTGTGCTTGTTGGCGTGTATATCGCATGACATATGTGACGTGTATGTTTCATGACGTATGTTACTATGTATGCTGGCGAGTCCATGTATCTGGTTGTGTGCATGCGTGTTGACATGTAGGCCCTGCGGCGCATGTTCGTAGGCGTGCGTATGTTTGCATGTGTGAGCCTGTGTGTGCGTGTGTGTAGGCGTGCGTATGTTTGCATGTGTGAGCCTCTGTGTGTGTGTGTGTGTGTGTGTGTGTGTGTGTGTGTGTGTGTGTGTGTGTGTGTGTGTGTGTGTGTGTGTGTGTGTGTGTGTGTGTGTGAGTGTGAGTGTGAGTGTGAGTGTGTGCGTGTGCGTGTGCGTGTGCGTGTTACTTTGTAATCCGGTAAAGGAGCAGGCTGGTCTGCAGCAGTTGAGCGGGTGTGCTTATCATCCCCCCCCCCACCCCCTCCCCAGAGCCATGTTACTTTGTAATCCGGTAAAGGAGCAGGCTGGTCTGCAGCAGTTGAGCGGGTGTGCTTATCATCCCCCCCCCTAGCCTTTGTAATCCAGGCTGGTCTGCAGTTGAGCGGGTGTGCTTATCATCCCCCCCCCACCCCCTCCCCAGAGCCATGTTACTTTGTAATCCGGTAAAGGAGCAGGCTGGTCTGCAGCTGTTGAGCGGGTGTGCTTATCATCCCCCCCCCCCACCCCCTCCCCAGAGCCATGTTACTTTGTAATCCGGTAAAGGAGCAGGCTGGTCTGCAGCAGTTGAGCGGGTGTGCTTATCATCCCCCCCCCCCACCCCCTCCCCAGAGCCATGTTACTTTGTAATCCGGTAAAGGAGCAGGCTGGTCTGCAGCAGTTGAGCGGGTGTGCTTATCATACCAACCCCCCCCCCTCCCCACCCCCGTCATCAATGAATGTGATCCCTAAGTGATCCGTGAATGTGATCCTCAAGTGAGCGTGTATCCCTAAGTGACCGTGATCCCTAAGTGAACCGTTTGAGCGATCCCTAAGTGACCTGTTTGCCGACAGGGGAGCGGCATGCCGTTCTGATTTTTGGTGGAAAGTGCAAGCAGTTGGATGGCCAAATGGTCCTTCGGGGGGCATGTCTATGGGACTTCCCTGCATGAGCCTCTTGAGCAACTGTTGCCTGAGGAAAGGTGATCCCATTGACACACGAAGCAGACGACGAGGATCGCATCGCAGCTCCACTGTTGGCTACATTTACAACTTACGTGTTTTGGTTTGAGAGCTCCTTCTTCCTGTCATGTAGACTTGTTCTTCACGTGTTTCATTTGTCCGCTTGCAAGATTTAAAAAAAAAAAAAAAAACACACTCCTCCTGAGAGCCGAGGCGTGGAACCTGGAGATTCTGAAGGGCCCAGCGGCGCAGAGCGTGAAAGCGGCCATGATGCTGTGTCGTTCCAAGGTCAAGCAGGCCAGACGCCCAAAGCCGCCAGAGTCGGCTCCTTCCGCTTCTCTTTCTGTTGTGTGTCTCTCTGGTCTTATGTTTGCCCTTGTGTTGGGCCTTCGATGAGGCCCCGACAAAAAGCAACCCTGGAGGCAGAAGACGTGGACTCTTGCCAGAACCCAAGTCAAGGCCACAGGGAGCTACTCGTGTTTGTCACACCTGCCAAAGGCTACACTAAACACAAGAGCAGCATAGTGCATCGCGGTGGTAGGGAAGGTTGTCAAACCAAAACGCAAGCACACCCACACACAGCCACACACGGCGCACATGTCTGCCAAATCAGAAGCGCACGCACTGTAGAGCTCCCGCTCATGAAGCGCACATGCTTGTGGTAAGTAGGAGCTGAAGTGAAGCCGGTCAGAGCTGCGCCCATGCCCACCAGACAATACACGCACCCCCCTTTCCAGAGCACTCCTTCAACATTGTGTCTCACCACGTGATATGCGCTCGCTGCAGAGCGTTATCGTGCCGCGCAGGTGCAAAATCAAAAGCGCACCTCTGAAGAGTGCCCGTTCAGCGCCGTGCAAATGCCAATCGCGCCTGCTCAAGCGCGGCGTTTGTGCCCGCTACAGAGCGCTCATGCCTGCCAACTGCTTCCTACAATCCCCTGTATCTTAGAAGAGCGCGAAGGCTTCAGGAGATCTTGCATGAATTCGAGGGGTTCATGCAGTGGTATTCCATTGTGGGTTTGCGGCGCACACAGAGAGAGGTGCGCGGAACTTGGCAAAGCCGTTGGTCCCAAAAAGCGAGCTGATCGAACGCCCCAAAGTGAGAGACCCGACCAGAAGCAACGGAGTGATTTCCTTGGGCAGGGCCCAGACGGTGTGTGCCAGGCCGGCCAAGTCAACTGGCAGACCTTTGAGTGTGAAAGGAATTCTTCTTTGCTATGTTTGGAGGATGATCAGGAGGCTCAGCGCCTCGCTGCATGCGACTATCATGCTTTGCTGCTTTGCTTTCAGGTTCGCCACTCATGGCTTCGCAAGTCTTGTTTTCCATAGTCTTGCCCATTTGAGTTGTGGAGACAGCTGTTCAATCCAAACCAAACTGCGGGCAGGCGTGGGCTAGGGCTGCACTTTGCAAGCGGCGCATTCTCCAAATGTTGCGTGCGGTCCGGAGACACACGACCAAGTGCCAGCAATCTGGAACTGGAGCTTCACTGTGCAGGTGGACAAGCGCAATAGAAAGGCAGGACGGAAGTCCATCCGTCTCATTAATCAGTTGAACCTCTTCAAACGTGCTTTTCACATGTAACTGTAGGTATGCCACGCACAAAAGCCGCGACCTGCAGCGACATGGGGTGGCGTCTCCGAGCTCAAGTGTCCCACACCCGAAGCTCTTTCCAGAGGCATCGTTTCGAACGGCTGTGACTTGCGGGGCCAGTGATGCCGTGCATTTTCGGATTGGCAGCGGGACGTTGCAAGGAGATGGCACTGCAGCTGTTTCTGGAAGTGCTGCGCTCTAGTCTGGAGCCTTTGGGGTCACCCGGAATGTGGTCAACAGGTAATTAGGCGGAGGTCAGCTTGCCCATTTACGCCTTTGACATGGCGGTTAAGATTAGGACGCGCCGCAATTGACATGATTGACGCTTCCAGATTAATTTGCGCATTGACCGTGAACTTGCCAAGAGGGCAACCGACAGCGCTACCAGAAAATGGTTTGCTCTATGTGCTGCTTTCTCGCCTTGGACGCGCTCGTCCGATGGCCGCGAGAGAGAGAGAGAGAGAGACAGAGAGAGAGGGAGAGAGAGCGAAGTGATAGGCGTGCTTGCTGCAGAGCGCTTCCTCAGCGTTGCTGCGTGTGCTGACCAAGCGGTTCACGTGCACGCTCCAGAGTGCCTGCACAAGAGCGCCCACTCGCGCTGCTTGCGTGCTTGCAAGATGAGGTTAAGCGCGTTTTCCTGAGAGTGCCCGTTCGTTGCCGTGCGCGGTTAGCCGAATGATAAGCGTCCGCTGCACGCACAAACTTCACAGCTTTAAGCCACAGCACCACGAGCTGCCACGGGCTTCACAGGTTCACACTGAAGCCACAACAGCTTCACATCTTTACAGAGACACGCAGCAGCTTCAACCTGAGGACACCGAACATCGCAGCTTCAAAACTTCACACTTTCAATCCTGCCACCACTGTCCAATAGCATGTGCAACCCATTCGCAAAGTCCGTTTGTCCCATGCGCGTACAACAGCATTTCAGGATTGATTTAATGATGCTAGGAAATTACAGACTTGGGTGCGCCTAAACATGGTTGGTGATCCTCCCAAACCATCCGACTGTAAGCTTCTCAGGAACGCATAGGGAGTGCGCTCCCGACTTGGGCGGTAGTCAAATGAATGCGGGGTACGTGAAGATTCGATCAAACTCATTTCCTCAAAGCGGACTTGTGGTCATTCTTATCTGCTGGGTCCGGCAGGGCAGCAGTTGAAATGCCGAGGACAAGTTCTTTGGCAATGTGCCTTCGGGGGATGACACATTGCAATGTACGCTGGCTGCAGCAACCTTCTCGGCTGCGTTGCTTACCTGATTGGTGCGATTGTCCCCGCCCGAGGATGCACTCATCGACCGAACAAGCAAGTCCACGACTAATTGGTTGGATGTTGGAGGGTGGATTTGGTTACTGGGCTCAGCACTTTCAGCTTGTGGTCAAACCTCCGCGAGTCAGGCTGAGCGATGCCATTTTCCCGGTGGTGTCCTGTGGTGCCGGCACCACTTCCGTGGATTGGGTGGAGGGTCCCATGCCGCTGCTGCGTGCAACGACCTTACCAGACGATTTGCAAGCGGCTTGCCTTTTTTTCTTCTTCGAGCCCCCCACCCAAAAAGCACCAATCAAAAGCCCAAAGAAAAGCATTGATAAACCGTAAACCAATCAAACAGAGCCCATCAATAGTTCCCTAAACCAATATCGTTTGTATCCAAAGAAGAGTTTTTTTTTTAGTTCCCCATGTCCCTCCCCAGTTTGAGGATGCCTTGGCCTTTGATGGCCTCCCGCTGGTCACGCTGCCGCCTGCGGCCAAGAAGCTGTACGAGACATGCCTCAAGGATCCGGAGGAAACACCAAGGGAGCTGCACCACGAGGATTGGGGGGGGGGGGGGGTAGACCGAGATGGGACTCACTCAAGAACCAAAGCTCTTTTTGGTATTCCAATTTTCTGGTACTCTAATTTTGGGTAACCATTCTTGTTGGTATTCCAATTTTCTCCCAAAGCAGATGTAAAGCGGGAAGCGCTTTTCTGCGGATAAGCTGACAGAAAGCGCGATGCACCTGAAAAAACCTTGTCGGGGAAGAACGATGCAAGTGAGGGAAGAACGGTGCAACTGGGAAATAGCTTTTTCACCCTATAGCTGGCGCCTTGATTGTCGACTCCGTGTTTTGAGCTGAAACCGGATTCTGCAGTGAGTGCTTGCGTGAGAAAAGAATGGAAGTCAAGCCTTACAAGGCTGCTCATGTGGATAGCAGCACTTATGCCGCAGGATTGATCCTTGCCTGCAAACGTCTCTTATGTTCAGTTTGAGCTTGTTTGTGACAGATTCGCCTTTTCCCTACGACTAGCTAGCTGGACGTTTCAAAAGCATCCCTTGCCGTACCATAGGCAAACTCATATGAATCTTCCAGAGTTGTGTATTCTTGCATTAGGAATTCCTTTCCCCTGAGTTCCTTTCCCCAGAGTTTCCTAAATAGAATCAGGCGGAAACAAGGGGCGAGCGCAACTTCTCGCTTCACCTGCAAAGAATGCATGCAACTTGCTTGGCAAACAACGACAACAACAACAACAACAACACATTTGCAAACCTGTCATTCGATGTTGCATTTGCAACGAATAGGTCAAACTTTGAAAGCCCACGTTAACTTGAACAAGTTTGTCAACGGCCCATCGCTAGGAGCTGTGTGAGTTCTTGTCTTCTACTTGGCGGCAGAAGCTCGACATCTCCACAAGCGTTGCGGTCACGGACAGGGTTGCATCATTGAGCTTTGGATACCGTGCGTGTCGTTGTTTCCCCCACTACTTCGGGGGACTGTTCTTAAGAACAGTTTGGTTGGTTGGGGATGGTGGCCAAAAAGCAGCAGGAAAAAAATAGTGCCAGCTAGTGTCGCTCTTGGCCTTTGCCTTCGCAGGCTGCTTGTGCGGGCGTGTCGATGAAGAACTTGCTTGCCCCTGTGAAGAAGCCCATTGACTATCCGGCTTTGGCTTGCAAACTGTTTGCATTGGGTTCCCATCATCTTCCAACTGATCAGCTATGGCTATGACGTTCTTCGGCAGGAACTTGATATGCGTTGCGGCTGGTGGCCTTGTGCTCGTTGAGCCGATGGCAGCCCTTTTCCAAAGCCCCAGACCCCAAGCACAGCATGGCATGGCTTCCACAACTCACCCCCCCACAACCCTCAGAATGCACTTCACCAGGCCACAGTCCCGTCAGGAGTCGGGGATTTCTTCCTTGTCCCAACACGATTGGATTTCTCAACAGCTGCGATTCGTGCTGGAATCAGATTGGCGCGGCCGATTGCAGACCGGCGATACTCCCACAGTGTACATTTGCGAGCACCTGGAAGGCGTTCCTTTGCTCCGGACGGTGGATGAGAAGCTGTCCACCTTCAGCCAGAACAAGCTGAGGCAATGTTGATACAGGGGGGTTGGTATTTCCTTCTTTCGTAATTCTAATTTCTGTCAGGCCCGTTTGTTCATTTCAGAGAATTTCAAGGTGTATGTTAGTGAAGTCTTGTTTCAGGTGGAAGGTCAGAAATTCGGAGGCCGTTGTCATTTGACGTAGCTGGGGCTGAAGCTGGGCCAGGACGGCTTTGGCGCAGTCCGATGGGCTGCGCCAACACATTCCTGCCAACTCATTCGTGTGGGGGTGCCAAGAACCCAGACCAAGTCACATCCTCGTTAAAAATAACGCAAACGTTGCGCCTGATCGAAGCATCTCCAGTCAATTATCACGATGACATTTATGGCCCAGAGGTTCCATGAGTTAGATGTACATGCAACATGTTGTACAAACAATGCAAGGCTGAAGCATGACATGATCACATGTCGTTTTGGCTCAAGGAAAACAGCGCGTTGCACGCGCTGCCCACAAGTTAAGGGAGAGGTCGCAGTCACGGCGGGGTTCGTTCCTTTTAAGGTCCCGGGTTCCCCCGTTGTTGAGAAAACTGTGTTTCCCTCTCCTTTGAGTGGTTATCAGCCGTAACGCTTTTCGGGTAAACAAACCCTTCCGTGACTGCGACCGTTTGGTCGCACATGGAAGTCGGCCCTCACCGCGGCGTTCGCGGTGGGAAAGGGCCGCGTGCCCGTCTGTTCAACACCCTCCAGCAGATCATCGTCGACGAATACAAGAAGCAGGGTCGACGCTTCCGGTGGGTCAGGTTTGCAGACGCTTCAAAGCAACAGATTGAGGCTCTCTTTTCCTGGCGTGAGACATTGGATAGTTGGCACTTGTGGTTTTTCGACCAAGAGGCTTTGAGATCATCCAGGCCGCGGACAACGCTTATCAGCAACGTCTTGCATCGGTTGAAACCGCGGGTGCGGTAGTGCCACAAGGAGTTCAGGCGCAGGATAGAGCCGCAGCCTCTGGCGCGGCGGGAGCATCAAGCAGTGCTGCGGATTGGCTACGACCACCTACGCCTCCTTCTGCTTCATCCTGGTTGCAGGACTCCCGCACTCCATTGCCTCGTCTCCGACCATCTGCAGAGAAAAGACAAGGGTTGCGAAGTGCCGCCAAGACAGCACTTCGCGGGGTGTACGCTAAAGCTGCGGAAACGCGGCGGGAGAGCAGCAGGGAACGATCGTCGCAAAGATCGAGGTCCCCATCGTCTTCGAGACAAGGACCGACTGCTGCTGCCCCTGTACCCGCGCTTGCGCGGGAGGGCAGACCATCCCGGACTTCCCTTGCTACACGGCCCATTGTATTGGCTCCACAGAACAGCATATATAATATACCCTGTGACACGATTTGACGAGCACGGCACTTGGGTACTCGTTCGGGAGGCTTCACAGCCGCGTGAGGCGACATCTCACCGCCGAGCACAGCGGACATCCCGACATCTCCGTCAGGCTGACCCGTATTCGCTTGCGGACGAGACGTGGAGAGATCCCCCAAGAAGATCATCCACAAGCTCGCGATCACGATCTCCAGATCGACGCCCAGGACCAGCGGATATCGCCTCGACGCCTATAGCTCAGAGGAGGAGCCTCCGCAGGACGCGGAAGCCCTTACAACTGGCAGGGCGGCTTACGTGCCTCGGCGCGTATACGAGGCACTGACACACACTGAGCCTATTGCTTTGCATAGCCGGAGGATTGGAGCAATACAGCAACCGCCATCAAAGGCCGCACCAAAGATCATTTTTGGCAGCAAGCCTCCATTGCCCAAGGAACTTCCTCGTGCAGCTTCTTCGGTACCGGCAAAAGCAGTTATTCCAAGGAAATCACCTCCTCGAGCAAGGTCTCCTATTCGGACTCAGAGTGCATTCGGGTACAAGGTGCCTCCGCGAGGTCTGAACAAGGCCGAACCCAGAAGCAAGTCAGGTTCAAACCCACCACAAGGGTACATTGTCAAGCCGCCGCCGCCCCAGGTCGTTAAAGCAGCTGCTTCAAGCGCTGCAACTTCCCAGGCCGGCATTCGCTTTCGATCGCCACCGAGAAGGCCGCCGCCAGCGCCACCACCGCCTCGTGAAGTTCACTGAAGACTATGCTCCGATCAACTTGATCGTGTTGTCGTTTGTCGGCCGAGCTGCCAGTGACTTCCGTCGCCGTGAGTTCCAGGTCGCTCTGGACCACGCAAAGGCGACAGCTGGATTGACGTTCTCTCAGATCGTGCGCGAGAGACTGGGCCGAGGTGGGAAGGCGGACGCACTCTTGGGGTTGGCCGCGAGGCGCAGAAAACTGGCATTGCAGCGTTTCGCAACTTCCCCCATTTTGGGGCGAACGGATTTGCCACAGCACTTGAAAACGTTGGGGAATTCATCGAGTCCCGGAATCGACTTTTCATTCCGGCAGCAAGGGGCCTACACCCTTCGCAGTATCTCGAGGAGCTCCATCGGTCTGCATCCCAACTGCCCGGCAATCGGGTCCTTCGATAGCCTTTCTTTGCAAGCCGCTAAAACCGTCGCTTTGCGCGGTACAGCATCTTTGCAGCTACAGGTATTCGATTAGCAGACTTTTCATCAGCAGCTTGGCGACATCCTTCGATAAAGCACCAGAGTGCGGGATTGCGAACAAACATCTACAAGTACAATTACAAGTACAGAATTCATCAGGTGCAAAGCAGCAGGGCGACTTTTCTTGAGTGGCTCACTTGAGCGTTTTGCAACCAGCTGCCAATCCAGGGAAATCCGCACGTAGCACCTTTTGACACGCTGCTCAAAGCGCGTGGAGCTGGCTTCGTGTGAGTGCAAAATTGCATTGCTGAGTCAAGGCAAACAACAGGCTTATCCCCGCCCTCGGAACCCCGTTCAAGGTCAACCCCAAACAGGGATTCTGAACCGGATGGCCCTGATTTAGCCATGGTTCCTACGGCAATGTCCACAATGCGCACTTCCACACCTCAACGAGCGGCCCAAACACAACCATCATCACCTCCAAGTGGTCCGATCGTGTCAGAACCTACATCATCCGAAGCTTCCCCAGCCATTCAGTTTCCTTCACAGGATCGCAAGTACGGCTGCGGCATTTATTGCTGGAGCTGCGGTGCAGCAAGCTCATCGAGCATCCGACCTCGCTGCTCAGGCAGCCAATCACGCCTTGCACCAACAGCAAGCCGCCGACCAGGCGAGACAAGAGGCCGGATGGATCAGGGAAAGGGCTGTAAGGGAAGTATCAGATGTTAGGGTTCAAGCCGCTCAGCTAGCTTCGCAAGCCCAGCAGGCTGTACAAACAGCACAACAGAGTGAGGCTCAGGCTAGACAACTAATCGAGCAGACCCGACAGGAAGCCATAGGCCATGTCGAGAACGCACGACAGGTTGTTAATGCTACCCAACAGGACGCTCAGCAGGAGGTTCAACGCATTGTTCTTGAAGCTCAACAGGCAATCTCGCAAAGAACAATTGCCAGTCAAGAGCATACCATTCGTGGATTGTCCCAGGAAAATTCTGTGATGCATCAACAACTTGGTGATCTCGAACGTGTTGTTGCACACCTCACCCAACAAGCTCGTGCGACCCCTGTTCCGATTCAAGAGTCTCCGCCGAAAGCCGCATCAACAGCCGAAACAGCTACGGAATCAAGCGCGGCTAAAGCCTCAAGTCAGGGCACAGTTCCCCCAGGAACCCATCAGCCGGTTGGAGCACCTCAGGTTTCAGATTCACAAGATGCCTCCGGTGTTGCCGCATCGTCGCAAGGGAATGCTTTTACAAGTAGGATCCCCGACCCTCCGTGTGGTTCTGTTCAAAGTTCAGGACTTGGTCACGATGCCCCAGCTGATTCAAGGGACCCTGGTGGGGTTGCAACAAGTCAACATCTCGTAGGCCATTCGGCAGTCCTAGGTCCTCTGTTGGAGACGCAGCCCCCGGCGCGTCGAGGGCTAGCGGTTTGGAAAGAGACGGTACAAGGGATCAAGCCGATGTGAGAGTGCAAGTGACGGCTCTAGCGGAAATGGTTCAGCAGCTTTCACAATTGGTTGCTAATCAAGTGGCTCCGCCACCTCCGCCTCCGGCCGCACCACCTCCAGTGCCTCCCATGCCCTCGCAGGGGCGCCGCCTCTGCCAAAAGCTGGCGACGGCATCCGTGTTCCGCCAGTACCAATCACAAGTTTGGGAGGGTTGTACTCGTCATCCCCACAAGCGCCATCGGCCGCAAGCTCCGACTCATCATCAGACTCCGATGGAGATGACGATGCACCACAATGTCGAGTTTGCAGCGGCAGCCACGAAGACACGGAATGCCCATACCTCAGCATGAATGGTGGTGGGGGCGGTGGGGGAGGCTCTGGCCAGTTCCCCAATGCAGACCCGTCTCAAGCTGCCGATCCTAGTGTAGGCATGACCGCTGTAGATCACGCCGCATATGAGGAGTCCGTTGTCCGTGTTAAGGATCTCAAGGATCTGTTCTACCATCTCCTCCGGAGAACGCGGGTCAGGCTAAGGCTAGAGGTTTTGTCAACCAAGTTTTGATGGCCATCGGTCGACTCCAGAAAACCCCCGGAGATGAAGTTTACCAGTGGGCCCAAGCATGCATGTCCTCCTCTGAGCAAGAACTCATCGCGGACAAGCGTTTCCCACGCCTAGATCGTGAAGTAGCCGAAAAGCTCCTTAAAACCTGCCGCAAAGGTAAGTTCGGGCTCTTGTTTCAGAACATGGTTGAACAAGAGAGAATCTCGTCAGGTGGGATGCCCGTAGGGAGAATCATGTTGCGTGCCATCTTCAAGCACTTCCAGTTGGGACGAGGTAGGATCGGAACCTTAGGAGGCCGTAACTTGTTAAAGTTGTCTCTTGCAGGTCCGTCCCTTGCTGACTTGGATGCCTTCGGGAGAAGTACGTTTACGTGCTGACCGCAATTCCCGTGGCAGAACAACCCAAGGAAACAACCTTGTTTGATCACCTGTTGGATGAGCTGGAAAAGTGCACCTCGCTGAAGCCTAAGGTTGAAAAGGCAAGGGAAGCCCCTCTCGGCAGCCATCGTAGGAAGCCGGAATGGTTGTGGTCCAAGGTTGATCTAGCTTTGGAACTCCATCAGGACAAGCGGAACCGGGATGAGTTTGACAAAAGTCTTCAAATCAAGCCAGCCGCCGTGTCCCAGGGGAATAATTCTAATGCCATGCCTGCCGCAAGCAGCGAAGACAAGCCCAAGAAGAATAAGAAGAGCAAGAAGGATAAATCTGCGGACCAGCAGACTCCGGCAGCCCCTGCGC